TTGAGTAAGTTGTGATTGCTTCCTGAAGGCTTTGCCACATTCTTTACATTTATAAGGTTTCTCTCTAGTATGAATTCTGTGATGTTGAATAAGGTCTGGTTCCTGCTCAAAGGCCTTGCCACATTCTTCACATTGGTAATGTTTCTCTCGAGTATGGATTCTGTGATGTTTCATAAAGCTTGACTGAAAGCTAAAGGCCTTGCCACATTCTTCACATTTATAAGGTTTCTCTCCAGTATGAATTCTGTGATGTACAGTTAGGTGTGACTGCTGGATAAAGGACTTGCCACATTCGTTACATTTGTAAGGTTTCTCTCCAGTATGAATTCTGTGATGTTGAGTAAGCGTTGAGGGCTTGTTGAAGGCCTTGCCACATTCTTTACATTTATAAGGTTTCTCTATAGTATGAATTATGTGATGTTGAGTAAGGGTTGAGCACTGCTTAAAGGCCTTGCCACATTCTTTACTTTTGTAAGGTTTCTCTCCACTACAGATTGTCTTATGTATACATATTACTGATGACTGACTAAACATGTTCCCAGGCTTATCATTGTATCTGTATGGGTTTTTTCCCACATGAATTCTCTGATGATCACCAACACTGGAGGACTGGTTAAAATCTCTTTCACATTCATTAAATTTGTAAGGATTCTCTCTTATATGCATACTGTTACATAGAAGGTTGGATCTTTGATAAACGACTTCCCCACATTTAATATGTTCAGAATGGTTCTCTTGAAAATGAGTCCTCAGATGTTTATTAACATTTGAGCCTTGATGAAATTTTTTCTCACATTCACTGCCTTGAGCAATTCTGTCCCCATTGACAATGCTCTCGTAATTTTGGAGGACTGAGCCCTTGGTGAAGGACCTCTCAAATGGATCCCATTTAGCAGTTGTTTCTCCATTTTTCAATCTCTGAAGTTTAGAAATATTTGACTGAAAGGTCAATCCAATCCTATTTTCAAAATTGTTCAAATCGTTATTTTCAGCATGTACTAGGTAACTTTCCAGATTCTCCACATTCTCTATCCATAAATATGTACGTTTGAATATTTGATTGGAGATTCTGCTTACAGAAACACCCTGCTTTGCAGAACTAGTGGACTTAAAAAGGAAGGTTTTACAAAATATTTTGTATCTTTCACCATTGTGGGCAGTGAGATTCTTATTATGGGCAGTAGTCTCAATTTGGATATATCCTTTATGATCATTATCCCAGTCTATCATTAAGTGTAACTTCTCAAGGACACTATGTTTATATTGACCCATTGACACATTTTGAAATGAAGCTTCTTTGCACAGCTCTGGCAGGAAGCTCAGGGTGCCATGTGAAGATACAGCTGAAAGATATTGAATAACAGAAAAGTAACGTCATTCCACTTACAACTTTCAGACAAATATACGGATGATGTCTAACATACAACCATAAAATCAATCAGAGAACGTCAGCAAGATGGCTAAGAAGGAATCATCAGGACTTCATTCCTCCAAGGACACATAAACTTGCAGACAACATACTGACCACATAGCGTAACAGATAATTCTCTAGTATTGTCAGGGTGTAACACCAATCACTCTCCTCTACCTCAAATAATCATGAGAAGTACCATTATGAGCCCAAAATCAGCAGAAGGAAGGAATTTTTTAAAAAAACTTATTTGAGAGAGACGGAGAGAGAGCATGAGCAAGAGGAGGGCCAAAAGGAGAGGGGCAAAGGAGATTCTTCGCTGAACAGGCAGCCTGACACGGGACTCAATCCTAGGATCCTGAGATCATGACCTGAGCTGAAGTCTTAAGGCTTAAACGACAGCCATCCTGGCGACAGCAAGAAAGGAAATGTAAACATAAAACAGAAATGAAGAAAATAGGATTTAGCAAAAATAGAAAAATATCAACAATAGGAGGATTTGGTTTTCAGAAAAAAAGAAAAAAATCAAAATTGACAGACCTATAACTAAATCAAGTAAGAATGAAAGAGAAGACCAACTAAAATTGGAAGACATGAAAGCAGACACGGTATCACTGATACCACAGAAATAAAAATAATTATAAAAGGAAATGATATATAATTATATGCCAAGAAGTAGATACCAATAAATAGGTATAAATATCAAAACACATATAACCTACCTGGACTCCAACATGAAGAAATACATTTAAAAATCTCCACTGATCTACAACTACTTAGTAGATTGAAAAAGTAATTAAAAAAAAAAACACCTCCAACAGGGGCACCTGGGTGGCTCAGTCGTTAAGCATCTGCCTTCGGCTCAGGTGGGGGGGCTCGGGTCACGATCCCGCATCGGGCTCCCTGCTCAGTGGGGAGTCTGCTTCTCCCTCTCCCACTCCCCCTGCTTGTGTTCCCTCTCTCACTGTATCTCTCTCTGTCAAATAAATAAAATCTTTTAAAAACAAAAACCTCCAACAAAGAGAAGTCCTGTGCCAGATGAGTTCACTGGATAAATCATACAAATATATAATGAGAAAGTACTTGAAATCTCCTCAAACATTTCCAAGGAGTAAAGAGAAGGGAGATGTTGAAAACACTTTCTCTGACACCAGCATTACCAGGTTATTAAAGCCAAAGGAGAGATGCTACAAGTAAAGAAGGGTACAAATTACTACCTGTTCTTGCAAAGTCAACAATAAAATAAAGCCAACTGAATCAAAAGCACACTTTACCATTTTACAACACAATCAAGTAAGAATTCTTCCTGGAATTCAAGGCTGTTTCAACATACAGAATACTATCAGTTTGAGACTGCACATTAATAGAATGAGTATCAAAAATGGCATGATCAGGAACACCTGGGTGGCTCAGTTGGTTAAGCGTCTGACTCTTGATTTCAGCTCACGTCATTATCTCGGGATCATGGGATCGAGCCCTGTATCCGGCTCCCCTTTCTACATGGAATGTGCCTGTATCTCTCCCTTCTGCCCCTCACCCTGCTTGTGCTCTGTCTCTCGCAAATAATTAAATAAAATAAAAATAAAAATAAAACATGGAGAAACATAAACCCATAGAGAATCATCTCCCAACAGTATCCACCGCTCAGTTTGACCCCAGCCTGGCTCCTGCCTAATTTTCCCATGTGTACACCACCTTGTCAAATACTCCTTAATCTGACACAGGATCTGGGAGAAAATCTATTCAATTTACATCATGCACTGTGAAAAGACTATGATCCGCAGGACCCAATACAGAAGAATCACATGAGCTGTAACATTCACTTCTCAATGTCCCTATAGGTCTTGCATTTGAACACGTAAGGAAATCCCAATACTCGTGAGAATCTACCTTAAATTTCTGTAGTGAGCTTTCTAAGGGAGAGGGGTGAAGAAACAACTGTGCAAAAGCATACAATTTACATGTATCTGAAAAGATGAGACGATTTTATATTTCTTACCCAGGAAGAGTAAGCCCTGGGTATAGTGGAATCATGGCTCATTACAGTAAAAAGGCTGAGGATTGGGAATCACACAGGAATAAGGGCAGAGGTGTTCGGGAACCGCCAATGGGAATATTAACAACAGCAATGTAGACATAAAAGTTGCAGGAGATTTAATCAAATGAAACAGAAGTGCCACAATGACAAAAATACTTTGGTTGGCTCTGAACTTAGGTGAAGACCTGGAGGAAATGCTGATCTTATGAATACACTTGACCTACTGCTTATGCCTCTACTGGATGAAAATCAAGGACCCACTGGTGTAGATCATGAGCTCACAACATGATTTCAAGGAACAGTAACAATGCTGGATATAGCAAATGTGTAATTTTCTTCTGATATCCACAACAGTATCCAAAATAGGTTTTCCTTCATGATTTATTTGGCAGTGACATACGGAGGAAAATGAAAAGCTCGTGTACTTGGAAGCTTTTACTTTAGCTCCTTCCAAGCAGCGTACATATGACTAATCTTAATGGTCTAGAAGACACCCAAGTCCCACACTGCACTGCAGTGGACACATCCCTGGTCACTCTGTGAAGATACCGAAGAAGTCTACATCCGAGATCATGACAGAAATCTCTTCACCCAAAAGCTGTCACTCTTGGTGGGACTCCTTTAGAGACAATGGCCAATGAGTTGACTATACTCATGTTTGGAAGTACAATCTGTAGAACTTAACCTACGCCCAGTGATGTAAAGAGAGAGAGAGAATGGGAAAAACAGCTATCAGTTTGCCAAGATTCCAGCTACAGTCTATGACAAGTACATTAGTGCTATTGCCCAGCCCTAGAAGACATTCTGCTATGGGAATATAGGAATAATCATTCATAGAGCAGCTGGATGGCTCAGTTGGTAGTGCATGTGACTCTTGATCTCAAAGTTTTAAGGTTAAGCCCAGTGTTGATTACAGAGATTACTTAAAAACAAAATCTTAAACAGAAAACCTCA